GGTTTCAGGCCCGATAAGAACACTGAAATGCTATTATCGGAATTCACAGATCAAGTTAATTCATGGATGAATCGGAAATTACATGTTCTAGCCTACCTATTTATTGATTTTTCTTGTGCCTTTAATACATTAGATCATAATAAGTTGATTAGGAAGTTAGATAATACAGGTATTCGTGGACCTCTTTTAAATTGGTGTAAAAACTATCTGACTAATAGAAGCTACCGTGTTAGGAATTTGCGATAGCTATAGCACAGCAGTCAAAGTAACCGGAGGCACAGCTCAAGGTTCCGTACTTGGACCTTTGCACTTTATAGCCTAAGTCAATGACATGATTAAGATCTTTAAACATTGTACTTACTATAAATATGCCGATGATACGTGTATGCTTGTGGCTGCTAAGGATGTAAATAATGCTCTGTCTCTGTTACAGGATGATTTTGATATATTAAATAAATGATGCCACGATAGCGATTTGATATTAAATTCTCAAAAGACCAAATTAGTCCATATACACTCACCAAACTTAAAGTCTCATAGCATATTAAAACATAAAATCATCCCGCATGATCACCAACCTCAACTTAATTTTAAGTGTTCCACGATTGAATTAGATGCTTCGCATAAATATTTAGGTTTAATAATAGATCATTAGTTTAATTGGCACGTACATATAAATCATGTATGTGATAAGCTTAGAGCATTTTTGGCAAACATGTTTATAATTAGAAAGCAATTAAACTTTCGAGTCAAAATGATGATTTATAACGCCCTTGCTGATTCAGTCATAACTTATGGGCTAAGCAGCTACGGACGAACAGACAAATTACACTTACAGTACATTAATAAACTACAACTTAGGATTTTAAATGCGATTTTACCTATAAAAATTAAACTTCAGGCAAAAATAAATGAAAATTTTATATTTAAATTCTGTAAGGTACTCAATAACCATGATAAAGTCGAATATCAATTGTTAAAGGAACAGTTCTTTAATTTAGGTATACAGCATACAGTTTCAAACAAAATTCAGACCCGCAAAGTAACTCAAAAAAAACTTATCAACAATACCATCCAAAAATAAATATGGTGAGCGCATCAGCGCATACATAATACCTCGCCTAATAAATGGTCTGGATAATAAATTTAGAAGTGAAATTACTAAAGATAACATAAAGTATAAGTTAAAATGTTTCTACTTTAACAAATATTAGCTGTTATCCCCATTTTTGTAATAAATAGTATATTATATAAATGTAGACGGAATGGCACACAACATGCCAACACTGTGCGTGGTTTTTCGTGTAATAACCTGCGTGGTTTTTCGCTGTGCCGCATAGCAAATTTTTTATAAATTTTTATTTGATAATAAATTTAAAAAAAAACGTGGAGTGGAATGCACTGCTAGCGTCTGTTTTTTTTTTGTTCCGCGTACAACCTCTCTGTGGAATAGTTTACCATCGGCGATTTTGCCGAACCGATACGACATAGGGAACTTCAAGAAAAGAGCTTACTCTTTTCTAAAGGGCCGGCAACGCACCTGCGATTCCCCTGGTGCTGCGGTTGATTATGAGCGGCGGTAGTCACTTAACATCAGGTGAGCCGCATGCTCGTTTGCACCCTCTCCTATAAAATAAAATAAAAACTACAATTATGCCAAATTACACTGTAGCACCTAAGATCTTTGAGTAAAACCGTGATGGACGGACGGACAGACGGATGGAGGGACTGATGTGGCAAAACTATAATGGTTTCTTATTGTTAAACTACGGATCTCTAAAAATAACACAAAAAAATTTTACTACTCAATGAGTCCTGATACTGATACTCCACAGGCAAGAAAAATGGTTTTGTAATTTTCTCCCGTTCAATTGAATTATTCCCGGAAAAGTAATTTAAACTAATTTCTAGTTAAATATTCGGTTTCAGGTAAAAATTCTTTACCGAATATCTAAATGTTGAGGTCTGTAACTTATTTTATTGTTAAACACCGCGTAACCCACTAATATGCGGCGACTGACTGCTATTTGTAGAAATAAGCATTGTATGGAGTAGAATATTTACAAATATGAGAATAAAATCACTTTTTTTACCTCTACTGCTGGTTCGGCGAAAACCTCTGTTACCTGTCCGAACAAACCCTAAGTTACTTTTCACGCATTCGCGACCTTCCAAAATAAAAATAATAATTACTGTCTAAATGAGAATTCAGAGAAAGTCGCGTGTTAGTTTCGTGTGGGTGTGGTAGCAAGAAATCTGTCGGTACGTAAAATTTCAATTTGATTTTATATTACATCGTTTTGACTCGTAGAATACTTACTTTATACCAAAACTGAAATTAAGCGAGGCGTGGTGGCCTAGAGGCTAAGCTCTCGCTGTCTTTCTTCATTTTACACAAGTTCGATGCTTGCCGACACCAATGCAATTGATATTAGCAAAATGTCGTGAAAACGTTGCGAGGAAATTTTTTCGAAGTTATGTGAAGTTCGCCAACATGCACAGGTGTGTGATGAAGGACAGAGGGGGCTTGTGAACATAGGTGGTATTTTTTTATTTATTTAAAAATAATATTAACAATGCTATAAACATTACTAATATTCTCTTTAACCACTTGTGGTAAGCTTAAATTGCTTGCGTTACGAGTGGTTCACGCCACTAGACGAATGGCGGATTCGAACCTGGCATTAGGCTACTATAGCTTTTTTTAAATAAGCATCCGAATACTCAAAAATTAAAATTTTAAAGTTAAACGAAATAAAATCAGTTAAATTCGTTTTACTCATCAACATCAACATTCATCATTACAGCCCTTCGCAAGTCCACTGTTGAACGTAGGTCCCCCCAAGAAATGCTAATTTAATATTATTATTCAATATGCAGTATTAGCATAAAAATAAGAAATCATTACGCGGTTTCGTTGCTCGTTCAATAGAATATAATCATTTTTATACTTTTTTTATATAGTAAGTGTGACAAACGAGCACACAGTTCACTTGATGGTAAATGAATGTGTGATAAAGATTAATATCTAATTCACAATAATCCGCATTAATTAAATACAATAGTGTATCTTACCTGGATTGAAGAACACCTCCCGCCCTTCCCTCAATTGCGTACACTAATCCCGCCACCTCTAGTCTCAGCACCACTATTCCCAACACCACTACTCCCGGCATCACTACTTCCAACACCACTATTCCAAGAAAGATACACCATCGACGATAATACGACACGTCTCTCACGTCTAAGTCTTAGCGGTCAGCCGCCGTAGAGTCTACATCTCCTGAAGATGCCTCGTGTAGAGGCGAAACACGTGTCGTATTATGCTCGTGGCGCACCCATTTTTCAAAATGGGTGCACCACGAGCTGAATGATCGCTAGCGTGAAGTACGCATAGAGACGTGCCTTGAACTGCTTAACAGACACACAAATGAAGGAATTTCGAATCGCATTGAACGAAAAAAATAGATACGGTTTGAAAATCACAAGCACTTAGCAAGTTGATTAGATTCTCGTTCCTTAGCAATGCCCTAAACGAAAACTTACCCTTAGAAAAGTGATGGTCATTGTTTGATGGTCTAGAGCCTGTATCATGTATAACAGCTTCTTACCAAATGGATGACCACTACTGAAGATGCGTACTGTGAAGAACTGAACACAATTATTTGGTCAATCGCTATTCCCCGCTGCTCCTGCACGACAACACGCGACCTCATACCACACAACAGACAGTCTCCAAGTTACAAAAGCTGGGTTTGGATGCTCTCTCTCATCTAGAGTACTCACCAGACCTTGCGCATATAGACTTCTACTTATTCCAGAATTTGGATGACTATTTGGCAGGAAAAATATTCAAAACCCAAAAGGCAGTATAAAATGACTTTGAAGAATTTATCACCTCCAGCCCAACTGATTTCTTCATAAAGGGCATCAATAAAATGCCACTATTACACGCAATGCATAGATACATATATTGCATGGGTGGTTATTTGATTATTAGAAATAAAAAATATAGAAATAAGTTATTTTACGTTAACTTATTTAAAAAAAAGGCAATTTCAAAGGTAAAGACCTAATATTATACTAGCTGATTTTTTTACCGTCTGAAAAAAGTTTTTATTTTTATTTTACATTGATATATTATCAAATTGATCTATCAATAAATACTACTAATTTGAAATAAACTTTCATTACTAAAAAATAATAACAAACATTTTGAACTAAATAAAAAAATTAATTAAAAACTATCGAAATTAAAATACTACGTACCAAATTAGTCGTATTTATTTCTAGACAAATTTCATACTAGGTTAATGTAAAATAAAATTGTAAAATGTCATTGCCATAGGCTTCTATTCCGTTCACCTCTTACACCCTATTTTTCCAGACGGTAGTAATAATATTCAGTATATTATACAATTAAATGTGAATTATAATATATATAAACAGCATGGAAGCTATCATCACATTCCTAGGGGTTATTAATTTATACGTACACATACACACTTTAGTGGTATAATTAACAAACATAATTTAAAGTTAATAAACATTTTTAAACTTTTTGACATATAAGTTCTCCATATTATCTGGATCTTTTTTGTAGCGTTTACATTTCCCCATAGAGAAATTACTAATTCTTTGGAGTCGAGTAAATGATATAACGAGCTTATGCTTGTTGTTAATATTTACGGAACGTACATCACTTCTTAATGTTCATACATAAATTTATGCAAAATAACCCTCTCAGAATAAGTAATTCCCTTGTGGGAGGAGGCTTGACAGAATCTGACGTTAGTTTACGAGAATTCATTAACCCTTAATTTGACAATGTCTAGTATATTATACGTTTGATGAAAAAAAATCTACAGCTTTTGCATTTAAAAACTACTAAATTTCGTTTTGAGCATACTCTATGGCAACATTTTACCTGTTGAATAAAAGTATTTTATTGTCTGTCCATTCAATGTGACATAATATTTCTCACATAAAAGTTTTTGAAAATGAATCGTCAACGGACAGCTATGGTAAGTTATGTTTTTTTATTTTTTTTTATTCAGTAATTGTGTTGATTTCGCATAAAATTTTATTGAAAGGCAATCAGATATAATAATTAAAATAAAAAAATGCAGTTTTATACACTGACGAGAGTGTTAGACAACATTAAAGTCCTTAGTATAACGGGCTATACAAATCGCTATTCACAACAAAGTTGAGTTATAAATATTGGTATAACAGGCTAAACATTTTGCTATATTTAACAAAGTAACAAATTTACTGTTTGTAAAGAGGGCTTTACATTTCATTATAGCTAGAAAATAAAACTAATTAATGTGTGTATATAATTTTAAACATTTTTTATTAATTTATTAAAATATTTTATCTTTGTAATGTTGAGTTGTTAGTGTACAGTTAAGCAATGATGGAGATGAAATAACTAAATAGATAAAAATCCCTTTTCAAATAATGATAAAAATATTTTTACTGTACCACTGCGTCTCATTTCTCGGTAGGTAACGAGTTGAAGTATACAATTGCGCCTGCATAATTCTAGGTGTGTTGTTTTGCGTTTGTTTCTTGCTTGGGTTGCGGATTATAGCATGTGTTTTATTTTAATAGGGTAAACCCCCAACAAGGAGTCATCGCATTCTCGCTTTGGTTCCACCTGAACATGGAAGATCTGATGCCAGTGGTGAATCTTCTGGGGAAGAGGGTGAGGAATCTCATCTATTTCGAAATTGCGTATTTTCAGACACATCTTCTGAAAATCCTTCAATTGGCTCATCCCTAGAGCGACTGGACTTGTTATCTGAAGACAATTTCGGACCCACTCTTGACCCTGATCAAAATTTCTTTGCACAAGAATCAAATTCAGAAGATGAAACTGCACCGTCCCATATCCGTCATCCATGCTTTATACCCGAATCTGATACTGAATATGAGCATTCATCACCACACATTCTACAAAACACTATTTCGCCAAAAACGAATACCAACTATGCTGGGGATGAAATTCAAGTGATATTACCAGAAGAGTCGTCACCCATTGCAGTAATGCCTTCTTGCTCATCCTGGAATGGAGACTTACCATCTATTCCGTCTAATATTTCATCTCTTCCCTCTGAACCGTTTCCTACGCCATCAACATCAGCTGTGAGTAAAAAAAAATCTCCCGCAAAAAGATTGTCAAAACGAAAGATTACAAAACAACAACAGCCTGCTCCTACTAAAAAGAACAGTATTTTGCCATACATATAGACATAACATTGTGCAACCTACTTATGAGTGGAAAAATACTAAATTCCTTCATCGTGCTGAAATTTCAGAAGACACTTTTAACGCTCACATTCCTGTGAACAAATCTCCACTTCAATACTTTTATGATTTCTTTTCCGAGGACATACTCGATGAAATAGTACAAAATACAAATTTATATTCTGTGCAACAAACCGGTCGATCTATTATAGTGACGAAGGATGATATGAGAGATTTTTTATCAATAAAACTCATGATGGGGATCATTTCCGCTCCATCTTATCTAGATTATTGGGCGTCAAAAACCAGATGTGGATTTACCGCAGATTTAATGACTCTTAAAAGGTACCAGCAAATACGCAGATACTTGCACTTTGTGGATAATACAGTTCCTGATACAGATCCATACTTTAAAATACGACCATTTATTGAAAAAATTAGACAGAATTGCTTAAAAGTAGAAGAAGAAAACAGATTCAGCATTGATGAAATGACAATACCGTACAAAGGTCGTAAAGCTGGAAAAAAGAAACAGTACAACCCTCAAAAACCACGCAAATGGGGTTTTAAGAACCTAGTAAGAGCGGGAGTATCAGGAATCATATATGATTTCTTTTTTATATTGCGGCGAAGATAGTTTTCGTTGCTCAGATATTCACTTTGACAATGATGAAATGTTACTTGGTTGGGGGGCTAAAGCTGTAATCGCATTATGCAAAAGTATTAAACGCAAGGCTTGCGTAGTATATTTTGATAACTTTTTTAGTTCTCTTGCTCTTGTACAAATGCTGCGCCAGAAATATGGAATATTTAGTCTTGGAACTATTAGATCTAATCGACTTAGAGGCTGTGAAAAACAACTAATAGATGACAAAACTTTAAAAAAAAGAGGAAGAGGTGCGTTCGTTCAATTGGTATGCAACGAAAATCAAATTTCTGTCGTAAAGTGGTATGACAACAAGTGTGTAACATTAGTGAGTTCATACATCGACTCCTACCCAAAAGAGACCACAAATAGATATGATAAGGTTGAGAAACGTAAAATACCGGTAAATTTACCCCAAATTGTGAAACATTATAATGCTCACATGGGAGGAGTGGATTTGGCTGACATGTTGGTGGCTTTATACAGAACTGAGATGAAATCAAGAAGGTGGTATTTATCGATTTTTTCCCAAATGATTGATATTTGCATTAACAATGCGTGGCTAATGTATTGTTACGAGCTTGAGGTTCGTGACAATTAAAAATTGCCGATAAAATTACCTAAATTAACACTTTAATTTACTTTACACAATTAAAGTTAAAACACTAATAATTTAAACACACTAATTCACTTAATTCCACTCCGAAGCTTCGCTTGTTTCGCCCAAATCAACACTGCCTCGATCGCATCTTGCAGCGCCTATATATTTGAATTAGCAAAGAAATATCCAGAATGTTCAAGTAAACACGCGGAAGGTACCGAGCGTTCGAGTTTCGACTAGGCGCTGTCAGTTGAGCGATTTGTGATGTCATTTTCTCAATGCTCCCCTCGCTCTCGTTCCTGACACTAGATGGCGCTAGTTGACTTATTCATGCAACACTGCCCCTCCTAAGATATGCTCGTCCCGAGCATTATCGGTCCCATAATAACGCGCCAAGCGATCCACATGGACGATCTTAGGAGTCCCTCTTGCGCCTTTCTGTATCCGGTAGGTCACATCGTTGATCCTGGTTACAATCCGGTACGGGCCGTCCCATTTAGCTTGAAGCTTAGGAGATTTCCCTTTGCTGCGGACTGGATTGTGCAACCACACAAGTGAACCTTCGTCGAAACCTTTGTTGTTCATTTTGCGGTCATACCGGGTTTTCATATTTTCAGACATTTGCTGGCCCGATTGTCTGACGTGCTCATAAACGTCATTCATTTTTTTCCGCAAGTCATTTGCATAATCGGTTATACTGCGTGGAGCATCGGGTGGTATCCCGGTGATCAGGTCTGCAGGCAGCCGTAATTCTCTTCCAAAGTTTGCGAAAGCTGGTGTCACTGCTGTACTTTCGTGAACAGAAATTCGATATGACAACAAAAACGGTTGTATGTGCTTGTCCCAATCTCGTTGCCGATTGTCTACAACTTTTGCTAGGTACCTCTCCAATGTCTGATTAAATCGTTCTACCATTCCATCAGATTGCGGGTGATAAGAAGTCGTTCTTGTTTTATGAGTTCCCATAACTCGGCAAGTTTCCTGGAATATTTGAGACTCAAAATTCCTTCCTTGATCGCTGTGAATCTCTAAAGGTACTCCAAAACGACAGAAGACTTCATGAACTAGTTTATCTGCAACTGTTGAAGCTTCTTGATTTGGAATGGCGAAGACTTCTGGCCACTTAGTGAAGTAATCCATCACAACCATGAAATACTTGTTACCGCTTTCACTCTCCGGAAACGGCCCCGCCACGTCAATGGCTATTCTCTCCCATGGTGCACCAACATTGTACAACTTCAATGCACCTCTACTACGAGTCTGAGGTCCCTTTACAGCCGCACAACTTGTACATTTGCGACACCAGTCCTCGACATCGTTTCGACAGTGGACCCAGTAAAACCGTTCTCGGATCTTCAGTAGAGTTCGTTTAACTCCCAGATGGCCTCCTGAACAATCATTATGGTACAGCTGTAGAACATCCGGTACTTTAACTTTAGGGACAACCATTTGCAAATGACAGCTGTCTCCCCGAACGTTTTCCCATTTACGACACAGAACTCCATCCTGAAGCAGCAAGCTGTCCCACTGGGCCCAATAGCTTTTAGTGGTCGAACTCATCGCTGAGACGTCACTCCACTTGGGCTTGGGAGCACTGGCCTTTATCCATTCCAGAATCGGCTTGATGTCCGGATCTTCCTGCTGTGCACGTTGTAAGCTGTCCTTCCACTCGTTGCTGAGGTGGTCTGCCCTGAGCATCCTCACGGATACCACTTCCTTACTCTCTTGCCTAGTACAATGTTTGCAATCTTCAGGACAAGGTCTTCTTGACAATGCATCTGCGTTGCCATGAGATTTCCCGTTACGATGTTCGATCTCAAAGTCGTATTCCTGCAGTAGTTCAATCCACCTCGCAACTTGTCCTTCTGGATTTTTAAACTGCAATAGCCATTTTAGTGCAGCATGGTCAGTTCGTAAGTGAAATTTTCGCCCCAGAAGATATTTGCTAAAATGCTGCAACGACTTTACCACAGCTAGCAATTCGCGTCTTGTGACACAGTAGTTCCTTTCCGGTTTTGACAACGACTTGCTGAAGTACGCTATCACGACCTCTTGGTCACCATTACGTTGAGACAACACACCGCCAAGTCCTATATCACTTGCGTCTGTGTCAACTATAAATTCTTTGCTTGCATCAGGGTATCCCAAAATAGGTGTTTTGCACAGACGGTCCTTGAGCTCCTGGAATGCGATATTGCAACTTTCATCCCAGCAGAAATGTCGCTTCTCCTCGGTTAGCTTGTGCAGAGGTTTAGCTATATCTGCAAAGTTCTTCACGAATCGCCGGTAATAGGAGCACAAACCCAAAAATGCTCTAACCTGCGTCTTGTCTTTTGGAACCGGCCAATCCTTGACAGCGGCGATTTTCTCTGGATCTGTGCGGATACCTTCTTCCGATACTACAAACCCCAAAAAGTTAACTTGCCGTTGGAATAGTGAACATTTCTTCGGGCTCAACTTGAGGTTGGCACTCTGAATCTTCATGAGCACGCGTTCCAGGTTTTGAAGGTGTTCCTCAAACGTACGGCCCACGGTGATGATGTCATCCAAGTAGACCAGACAGGCATCGCCAATTAGCCCGGTAAGTACAAGTTCCATCAGCCTTTCAAACGTTGCTGGAGCATTGCACAACCCAAACGGCATTACTTTGAATTGCCACAGACCCTTTCCCGTCGAGAACGCAGTTTTCTCCTTGTCCTTAGGGTCAATTTCAACTTGCCAGTAGCCACTTTTTAGATCCAGCGTGCTAAACCATTTTACTCCTGTAAGCATGTCCAGCGTGTCATCAATTCTTGGCAAAGGATAGCTGTCCTTCTTTGAACGTCATTCAGACGGCGGTAATCAACACAGAACCGCATGCTGCCATCCTTCTTTTTCACCAGCACCACTGGTGAACACCATGGACTAGAGGAAGGTTCAATAACACCATCCTTCACCATTCCTTCAATCATGGTTTCCACTTCCTTTTCACGTGCTACCGGCAATCTTCTTGGCCGCTGACGGATAGGCAATTCCTCTCCTGTGTTTATTTTGTGTTGAACTAAGCCAGTCTTTCCTATGTCAGCATCGTTTGATGAGAATACATCGGCGTACTTGAGTAACAACTTCTTCGCCTTGACCAATTCGTTCGGCGACAGAACACTGCAACAGTCTTCCAAAAGTGTGGTCACTCTCGTTTCTGAATCCTTGCTGGGGGTCCCACTCGATATAGATTGGCACTGACGTAACCAATCCACTTCCTCACAAGTACCAACCAGTGTGCCTTTTTCTATAATCTGTTCCCGGTCGCAAAGGTTCAGCACACGTACTCCTGAGCTGTCAGTGGTCCTGACCAAGGTTCGAGCTACTTTCCATGGAAGGTCATTGTTTACCCTTTCCACAAGTACAAAACGGTGAGTTTGCCCAGCGTTTCGAGGAAGACTAACCGGAACAATCGTTTCCGATCTCGGCGGAAGAACAATCTTCTTGATGCTGTACACGTTCCCTGGTAACGCACCTTCCATAAAAAGTTCCTCCTGTCCACATTTCAAAACACCTTGCTTAACGTCGATCTCGCAACAATTATTCCTCATAAAGTCTAAGCCTAGGATGCAGTCGTCCATATGTATATCAGCCACGATGACATTATGCAGGTAGATCACGTTGCCTAGCTTCAACTCCATCTCCTTCTCTCCACGGACGGGTATACGCTGACCGGTGGCTGTTACCAAATTAATGCGTTCTCGGTTGTATGCGGAGTCCCCAAGGAACTGACTTATAAGTTGGGAACTAACAACCGTACGAGAGGCTCCAGTGTCTATGGTCAGCTTACACGGCATTCCGTTGATCTCGCCCTTTATGATTAGGCTGTTCCCATCATGGGTTTGTGAGATCGAGATCCTTGGGGCTCTTTTAACATCAGCCAGCACCCGCCCCGCAGTTCTGGCTTTTACTCGTTTCCCTGCTGCTGCTGGGCGGCGCTGTTGGCCGCACTACCCTCCTGAGATCGTTCAATTTCCCTTTCTAGGGTTCGCTTAGGGCAGCTGGATCGAAGATGGCCCTTTTCCCCACAGCCATAGCACCTTGGGCTGTATCCTTTGTTGCGGTCGCGAACTGTAGCTGCTGCAACCTCCCTGACGCGATGGGAACGATGATCCTGTCGCATGGCTTCCACTTCCAGTGCATGGGCCAAGGCGTCCTTAAGCGTCTCGTGGTGCCCGAGCCTCACAGCAGCTCTGACTTCCAGGTCGCGGATGCCGTCGATGAATGTCTGCACCAGGTTCCCTTCAATGAGCGCAGGTACAGACCGGTATGCTTTTCGCACCAGCTTCTCCACTTCTAGAGCCCACTGCTGCAGGTTTTCGTTGATGCGCTGCACACGATCTTTAAGCTGCGCACGAAAGACGTGTTCCAGGTGAGCGTCGCCATATCTCGCCTCCAATGCCTCAAGGAGCTGCTCGTAGGTCACTTTCTTACCGAGAGCTTCCAACACAGTTAAGGCTTGGTCGCGCAGGCCTAAGGTGAGTGCAGTCATGGCCTGGCTTTTATTCCAGCCGTTTGCCTCCATGACGGCCTCGAACTGGATTTTGTAGGACGACCAGGAAGAGGTTCCGTCGAACGGCGGCACTTTGAATCCACGTAGCGAAGGTGTTGTAGCTACTACGGGAGCTGTTGTTACATCCCAAAGTTTGAGGTCGTCCAGCGTTTTCTTCACGTCAGCCATTACGTTGTCAACCCGATTGTTTACTTGGTCGATTCGGGTTTCGGCCTCCGACAGGCGGTTGTCATGTTGAGCAACCTTATCCTTCACCTCCCGTATCTCTTTTCCGAAGATAGCGTGAAGGTCCTTCATGAGGAGCATCTGCTCTTCCTTATCGCGTTGGAGTTGCTCTTCTAAACGACGGGCCTGTTCCTCCTGTCGGCGGGCCTGTTCCTCCTGTCCGCCCCGCAGCTGCTCTTCCAATCGGCGGGCCTGCCCCTCCTGTCGGCGAGCCTGCTCCTGCAGCATCACCATCAGAGCACCTAAGTCAGGTGCTGCAGATGTAGGAGCTACCGACGGGCCTTCAGCCAGTGGCTGGCCCTCCGACGTCTGCGGCGTTGCACCACCAAATCTTCTTTGGTCCGTCTCCTGCTGGCGTTGACTTCGGGTACGGACACCCTCCGTTTCCTCCTTAGGTAAAATCGGCATGATTTTATCCCACTTCTGACACCAATTGTTACGAGCTTGAGGTTCGTGACAATTAAAAATTGCCGATAAAATTACCTAAATTAACACTTTAATTTACTTTACACAATTAAAGTTAAAACACTAATAATTTAAACACACTAATTCACTTAATTCCACTCCGAAGCTTCGCTTGTTTCGCCCAAATCAAAACTGCCTCGATCGCATCTTGCAGCGCCTATATATTTGAATTAGCAAAGAAATATCCAGAATGTTCAAGTAAACACGCGGAAGGTACCGAGCGTTCGAGTTTCGACTAGGCGCTGTCAGTTGAGCGATTTGTGATGTCATTTTCTCAATGCTCCCCTCGCTCTCGTTCCTGACACTAGATGGCGCTAGTTGACTTATTCATGCAACAGTATAAAAGAAATATGAAAAGGCTTAAGGAAAAACCGATGATGCTAAAAAAATTCAGAATAAATGTCAGCGAAGAACTTATAAAATTTGGAAGACCCTCTTTGCCAGTTGAAGTACCGTGCATATCTTCGTGCAAAAAGATTGCTGCACCGAAAAGAAGCCGGCCCTGCGATTACCTGGTTTGAAAAGCCCCTCCCCCCTCCCTTCGAAATTACGTGCACTATTTACTACCTAAGTGTGATTGTTATTGTTAGATGACACCAACAAAATGACCTCACACCATCCTATGCATATGAAAATACACAGTAACGTTGATAATATGACACACGTTTTGCCTCTAAACGAAGTATTGTCTGCAGAAAAAGCCTTTGCTATGGCTATTTTCAAGCGCATCTTAGCTAAATCATTTCATTAACTTAACTCGTTTTTCATTTTTACGCGGATCTTCGCTAATTGGTTTTTCTACCCTTAATATTTTTATAGTATCAAATTTTACTTTGAATAAAAATAACAGTTAGGGAATCACCGCAGTGCTTGTCTGTGTTGGATACACACACAGGGTTTTTCTCTAAAAGCGTTTCACGAAGGTATCGTTCAAATATTCAGGTTCACCTTAGTAAAAGCACTGTTGACACTGCGAAATTGACCAGTCTTAACTAGTCAATTACGCAGTGAGATGTTGCAGCACAGGTTTTCATTAAATAATATTTTCTTATATTTAAGATGTGGTTAATCATATGTCTTTGCTAAAATTAACTTGTTTGTGTTATTTTTTCATTCTTTCAACAATATTTAGTTCATTTATGTTTCCGTAACATATCAAACATACTTATATTGAGTAGGTGAACGTTTGTGAAGATGTTTAAATGTCAGTTACTCAATCACGCATAAACGAAACAACGAATTTGGAATTTGGATGGAATATGTCACACAGACAGAACATGATCAGGATTAACACAAGGGATTCTTCCGTACATTATTACGACATAGGAGTAAGCTAGAATATACTCTATGGGTGTTTTTAAAAACATTAAGGCATTAAAAAAATTATTACGGGGAATTTTTTTCCGTTCAAAACACACACTACACACATACTGGCTCTTGAAATTTTGCTCTCAAAGCGTTGAATCCAACTGCGTTAAAAGAATTTCATAGTCGAGAAACTCTCTCGTTTAAATATCGAAATCCGAATTTATTTCATAAAGGGACATTTTTCTTTTTTGCCTTTCTGAGAGTTTAAAAAAAAATAAAAATAAAGCTATCACTATCACTGCGGAAATCGCTTAATGAATAGAAATATAACGAATCAGTCAACATATGTTCACTTCTTTAAAAAAAAACTTTAAACTTACCATTTTTGTCTCTTGATCGGAATAGAATTTTCTCGGCCACTTGCCTGCTTTTCTGCTAATGCAATGCTTGCAAACAAGCTCACCCATACACTTATTTATATTTACTTTATTAACTGAACCGTAACCAGCTGGTTATGCCTTTTTGGTAATTTTCAAAGATTGGCATAACTTCTTAGAGGCATTGCAAAAAGTTCTAAATTAAAAAAAGTAACGGTCTCATAGTCGTCGTTTATCGCTTACGCGTAGGTATTAAAATTAAACGACAGTCACAGTGTATTATACATATATATTGTCCCTCAGTATGACAGTGTGCTTTCTTATTATATTGTTACTAGCTTATGTCTCTATTGAATCATTAGAGAAGACTGCAGCAGCTATGTATCTCCTAGTTTATAGAGACACAATCTAGATAAGTAGTCCCTGGCTAGCGAGAAATTAGAGCGCAGTGGTTATCGTACTCGTTACATATACGTTGCCTAATTTAGTCGTCAGTACTAGAAAGAGAAAATTTATACTTCATTTCTTCCGTTGAAGTAGATTTTTATGATACGGCTGCATATTATTATAAGACATTGCGGTTACATTATTTCAAAGTAATTTTACGAGTCTCTTAACACATCATTTACCTAGTGGTTTTCGTAAATGCGACAAACATAAAGTATAGGATTCTGACCTTAATCTTAAATATTGCTGTTAAGAGGTCTTTTCCGACGTTTCTACTAAGAAAGACGTACTCTCTAATGCCTTCTACTGGAAACTTTTAATAGACTCATTTGGTACAAATTGCACCGTAATGTGCTCTTTAATTATAATTTAATGCTGCTTGAACGGTACAGTATTCATTTTACTTGGTTTGATTTTTATTTATTTATAATTTTTTACATTATTTTCTTATATAAGTGTTTTTTTTTTGTAATAAAAATAATATACCACGTTTTTCTTACATTTATAATTTTTAAATATATTCCTACCTTTCTTTCTGAAATATGTTAAAAGACCCCATCGGGAAGTGCTCAAAATTTAAGTTTAAAGGTTTCACCCGGAACGACAGATAAGCCACAAGCCAATAAACAAACAAGCAAGAGAGTGACTTAATAAAAACATACTCATCCGGCCTGATGACAAAAAAGAATATTAAATATTATTAATATTCTGATTTAATAAAACTTAGAAATTCCCTACTACATACGTATTCACGTAACATGAGTGTAATGTGTGTATCAAACTATAATCGTTTGTGTCATCACCATCATCATCATCATAACAGCCCTTTATAAGCCCACTGCTAAACATAGGCCTCCCTCAAGAAATGCCAAAAAGTTCGGTCCCGAGCCTACTGCATCCATTGACTTCCTGCATTTCTTAGCAGGTTGTCACTCGCCCACGGGTACGAAGATGCCACTTGAAAACTTTTCTACCTCTTAATCGTTCGTGTATCTGTTAGTAATTGTTTAACTTCGAACGACCTGACCTGTTGAAGTCATATTCATACAAAAGGATTTGTTTAATCGAGATGGTATTTTTTAGTGGTATCCTACCCCCTTCCGGGGAGTTTCGGTACCTCGTGTCCCATTTTTGCCATGACTACCTCCACGATCAGGTGTGTAGGGATGAAGTAGCAATGGAAGTAGCATCTGTCGCAGAAGTGATAACCGTTGGAGTCGACGTGTCATAAGAGTACACGGTCAGAGTGACTGTGTTGAGGTTATTGCAGTGAGCGGACTGAATAGAATAAGTGTCAATATGCGTAAGGCGGCTGGCAGTAATTGGATGGGTGGCGCAGAATATTTAGATAATGGAACGCATTGGGAGAGGTCTATGTCCAGCCGTGGACTGCGGCAGGCTCATGAATTATGATTATGAAACGGTACTTCATGGCTATGGTAGGATCCAATAGGCGGCGCTCTAGTCAAGTTATTGAAACATTTTATTTTAATTTATCGATCAAACTAACTCATATTCAATAATATTATATTGGTTTTGTACCAAAAAAGAAAATCACGTAATTTGAACTCGACAGGTTATCAAGTTTTCAATCAATTTTATATTAAACTGTAAAAAAAGTTCATAAAACTCATCGAGGCAGCTCTTTAACAGCGCAATACAATGCCTGCCTGGTCATCTAGTATTAGTCTAAAACAATAAGCTTTGTAATTCATTCCACAGTATGGCAGTACAGTAGAGTTAGTTGATTACTTCATAAATCAAACCTGAGTGACTTGACGTAACGGGCAAATTACACGAGCATGTGTCGCTAAATACGTGGACGTAAAGTGGAAGTAATTTAATGTCACGTTGTTTTTTTTTTAAATTAAGGAACAATTTAACTTTTGTGGTTTGGTGGCAAAGGTATGATCTCTCATAGGGAATTTATTCAGCCAGGTAAGGGTAAAAATTAAATAACGAGTTTCATCTATAAATATTTTAAAATTATCGAAAACTCTGTCGGACTAACGACCTTATATTATTGAAGTGGTGATAAAATAACTCCTAATTTGAATGCCATTAAAACATGAATAACCATGTTTAAAATGTTTGTCTTCCTGTTTGTCCGGGTTAAATTTCAGAATGACAGATTGTAACGAAAACGAACAGATTGATTGCAAAGCCAGGAGAGATTATGGATTGAAAAATTAATAATGAATTAATAATGATAATGAAATAAATAGATGATCTTTGCTTATCTTATATCTAATTAACGTCAAGCCGGATCACTTACTAAACAAAACATACAAGGGTCTCGATTGTAAATTGTAATTCGAAAGAAAGTTAACGACTTCCGCTTGCTACTAAACTTAATACGGGTATTTAAATTAGGCTTTCAGCTCATGATATAGTCTGTTAAACCGAAGTAGAGTTAAGTTTGTTTATAGTTTTTTTTCTAATCTCAATCTTATTTCGGTCCTGACACACTCTTACGAACTAAATTTTATAAGATAGTACGAGGTCGAACACAAACACGGCCCATTTTTCGCTATTGAAAAGGAAAACATTTTAATTTACAATGCGAATGTTCTATTAAAACACGATGAGGCTTAGCATTGAGTTACGACGCTGAGAAATGCGGGTTCGAATCCCGCACTGTACAAGCATTTGTATGGCCTGCAAATTATTGTTCCGGGTCTAGATTTTTGTAAACTACCTCCGCGATACAAGAGAAAATCTTTGTAGGTACAATATAAGGTTTTTTAACACTTTTCTTAATAGATAAAAAGTTAAACAGTAGAAATGTTCATATAATATGATTAATTCTTTACCAACCATTCATTACAGCCTATATCAGTCAACTGCTGAATATAAGCCTCTGCCATAGATTGCCGCCTGGGATTTACCCATTAGTTGCTACGCTTAGCAGACGGGATGCCAAATGAAGATTTTAATTATTTTGAATTACTACCAGGAAGATGCTGCTGCCCATCTCCTAATTCAGTTTCCCTCTTTCGCCTCTTACGACACCCACGGGATGATATGGGGTATTCTCAGTTCGCGTCGGAAGTTGGCCATTTTACTCTCATGTCCCGAAAATACGATATTAATCCACGATCCTGATCTCTCTTCGGTTGTATCGGATTGCAGCTTTTTCTTAAAAGGTCTCCCACATTAGGAACTTGTTGAAGCGATGTCGTGGTTTTGACGTCGAAATAACTTATCGAATGCAAACATTCAGGCCCTAATAAAATTAGGGCACGGAATGACAATACCAGCCATATATACTAAATTGATTTTAATTTAAAAAAGTTTTTCTTTGATGTTTTAAATATTACTTAAAACCAGTGCGAAGAGCAGTGTTTTCCAATTTAAAGACTAATTAAGTGATGGAAAGACTTCAAAGATGAAAAATAAAGGTTTGGATAAACCACCCATGGTCACGGGGAACTAAGGTGACTGACGTCCCGATGTAATTGTTAAACCCGAAGTACCTTCAGCTATTTTAATTATTGTTTATAGTCCGATCTATGCAAAATGAACTGACTATGTTCTGAGGTCTTGCAGTGGTACGCTTGGGTTTAGTTTTAATTTTATTGATAATAGGGTCCCAAGCAGGTGGTAGTACCCAGACTCATTCTCTATTTAGATTAGAATTGTAGCGGCGCTGTCGTCGCGCCACAAGCGAAACACACCGAAGCCTAAATCGCACTATCAGCATTCCGAATCATGAACAGTATATAGAGAACAGCTCCGAACTATCACACGGAGTATCGGCCGCTCCCCGGGCAGAACACCTTGCCCGGCGGGAGATCTCCCCTTTTCCTTCTACGGCCACAGTGGTGACCCCGACCAACAAACTTCGGAAACATCAAGCTTCATCATCGTCATAAAATACCCCACCCATTCGCTCCCGAGTAGATATCGTCTGCAGTCTTCATATCCTGCAGCCCATCTAGCTTCACAAGATTCATCGCAGCACTGGAATAATAATGCTTCCTGTTCCTTCAAGCTACTCTCTGCGCTATATAGTGTTCGGAACGGCTCTGAGCCTTACTGATCGCCTCTGCTTCACGGCACTCTTGCAGCTTACTTGCCCTCTTCTCGACTCACCGCAGACTACAAGGCAATATCATGGCACTTGCACATTCGTCGACAACGAGACTGCACTATCGACCTCCGGTCTGAGCAGGGGGGTAATGTAGTGGCGCTGTCGTCGCGCCACAAGCGAAACACACCGAAGCCTAAATCGCACTCTCAACATTCCGAATCATGAACAGTATATATAGAACAGCTCTAAACTATCACACGGAGTGTCGGCCGCTCCCCGGGCAGAATACCTTACCCGGCGGGAGATCTCCCCTTTTCCTTCTACGGCCACAGAATGTTTTTTTTTAATTTCAATAGCCTCACGTATTATCCTTGGTAGGAATCGGTGTTCTTTCGCGAGGATTTGTGATCTATCAAATCTGACTCTATGGTCATGGTATGATTTTATGGTTGTGGCCGCCTAGGATGTGATCACAAACTGCAGACTTCCCAGAACCTTGGTAATAATAATAATAATAATAATAAGGCGTAGGGAAGTGACGACCCCATCGCCCGCGACGTAACGGTTATGTGACAAAACCGCTACGTCAGCGCAGTCAGTCAGCACCTTGCCAAGAGGTGTTAGTGCCGTGCCTCGGCAAAAATTGAAGGTGCAAAGGCCCGCTTGTGCACATGGCCTCAACATGAAACGGCGCCGGGTCTGGGCGTCTCCCGCTAAATGACGCCCACCACTATGGATGATGGAATACGGAAGAACGCGCAAAGGGCCGCTGCCTGGAGGTCGCCAGGGCGCGTCTGGAGCTGGCGCTGGACGCGGCAGCATGCGAACCGCCAGCCGAGCGCGAGGTGCTGCACGACCACCCAGCAGCCCCTCGCATCCATCATCCCCACCAGCTGGCTTGGTGTCGGCAGGGTCTTCGCGGGCCCAGCAATCGGCACCCGCCTCTGGTGGAGTACGCCGCATGCGTTGGACAACCCAGATGAACAGCAACGCATTGCGGGCGTATTTTGGGGCGAAAGGGGGAGAAACTGGATGTTTGGCGTATCGGGCTAGGATGCATCGTCTTTTTGCTGAGCTGGAGCCATCTTTAACCGTCACAGAGCAAAACCTGGCAGACCGAGTTCGGTATATCTTGCGCTCAAATATATTTGATGTCGCCGAACTCGAACGGCTACGACGTGAGGCTGTTCCCTCGTCGGATGAGAATGCTACGGCTGAGGATGCGGCGCCACAAATGGTAGAGCAACCCGCAAACGTGGATGCCGCCGTGAATACCCCAGTTGTGGTTGATTCAAACGATGATGGAACAGTCGCCCAGGAACTGGAATTAGAGCATATGAGGAGTACATTGGAAGAGGCGATTGTGGAAACGCGCAGTACGCCTCTCGAAAATCGACCGCGACTTCCCCCGCATAGCCCTAAGCAAGCGGAATCGGGCTGTCGTGAGGGCTCTGAACCCAATGCTGGTGACCTATTTGGAAGCCAGCCGGGACCTTTGCGAGACGGACTCAATTCTTTTTGGCGCCGCGCTGGCAGTCTGCCGTATCATAGGCGCCAAGGTTTCCACGGCTGGACGCGCTACTGGCCATAGTAGCGCTATCCCAGCATGGAGAAGAAGAATTGAGGAACGTATCGCAAAGGCTAGAGCTCTCATCGGCAGACTGATATGCTTCAGATCAGGCAACAACAGGCCAAGAATTGTGCGCACCGTCAGGATGGCGTTTGCTGGGACAAATGTCAGTTTGTCCCAGCCGGATATAACGCAAAAACTGACGGAGCGCATAGATGATCTGAAGCAGAGAATCGCTGCTTGGGGAAAGCGGATTCGGCGATATACCGAGAGGTCGACACGGTTCAACCAGAATCGTCTCTTCCAGAGTGATCAGAAGAGGCTCTATGAATCATTGGAGCGACCAATGGTAAGTGGAACGGGTCCAGCACCGAATCAGGCCGACACTGTAGCATTCTGGCGCGGCCTGTGGTCAGAGCCCGTAAACCACAGCGAGGGCCCTTGGACGGAAGTTGTGGCGAGTCAGTGTGCGGGTATTACGCCCATGGACCCCGTCATCATAACGCCGGATGACGTAGCTGAGGCGGTCCGTAGGGCCCCGAACTGGAAAAGTCCGGGGCTTGACGGGCTGCATCACTACTGGCTGAAGGGGTTCATGGTGTGTCACTCTGTGCTTGCCCGACAGTTTCAAGAGGCTCTCAACCAGAAGTCGCTCCCAAGCCTCTTCACTACTGGGATCACTCATTTGGTTCCTAAAGACCAGGGTACCACAGACCCGAGCAAATACCGCCCCATCACGTGTCTACCGACCATATACAAGACACTAACATCCATTTTGAGCGCGAGAATCACTTGTCACCTGGACTCAAATCAGGTGATGTCGCGCGCTCAAAATGGATGTCGGGGCGGTGGTCGTGGAACCAAGGAACCACTCCTCATTGACGCGGTCATTGGCAAAGTGGTGAAACGCAACCGTCGGAACTTCTCCGCCGCCTGGATAGACTACAGAAAGGCATTCGACTCGGTGCCCCATACATGGCTAAAGAGAGTCCTCGAGCTGTACAAGATAGACTGTACAGTTAGAGACTTCCTTGAGCAGTGTATGGGGCAGTGGAGTACGATCCTTTGTCATCTGGGCGAGCGGATGATGGCTGCGGAGAACCACATAAGGATAAGAAGGGGTATCTTCCAGGGCGATTGTCTGAGTCCAATCTGGTTCTGCCTCTCTCTGAACCCTCTCAGTACCTTACTGGAGGGCTCCGGGAGGGGATTTCAGCTACGGAGAGGAGGGACAAAAGTGACCCACCTTTTCTATATGGATGACCTCAAGTTATTCGCCTCCAGTCGCTCCCATCTTATGGAATTGCTAAACATCACTTGTGAATTTAGCAATTCCATTGGAATGGAGCTTGGGACGGATAAGTGTGCGGTCCTCCATGTTGAAAGGGGAAGGGTTGCTAACTCTGAGGGCGTAGACTTATCTATGCCCGTCAACTTAAGGACCCTTTCCGAGGCTGAAACATACCGATACCTGGGTATGTCACAAAACATCGGTATCGATGAGACTGGTATGAAACAGTCAGTTTGCGACGTGTTTTATGCACGCTTGACCAAAGTGCTTAACAGCCTTTTGTCCGGTGTGAATAAGGCACACGCATATAACGGCTGGGTCATGCCTGTCCTCATGTATACCTTTGGCATACTCAGGTGGACTCAGACTGAACTTAACGCCCTGGATAGAAAAGTCCGCACTACCATGACGTCCCATAGGATGCATCATCCGAGATCGTCGGTAATGAGGCTGTACTTGTCGCGGAAGCATGGTGGTCGTGGCTTCTTGAGCGCGCTCACCATGCATAATCGCGAAGTGTGCAGCCTCCGTGATTACTTCCTGGCGAGATCGGATGATCCATTCTATAAGGACGTCATTTCTTGTGATAAAGGACTTACCCCTCTATCCTTAGCCAACGAGCAATGGCAAGACCCGGCAGTGCAGAGCATTTCCGACCGGGAGACCGTATGGAAGGAGAAGGAGCTCCACGGGAGGTTCTACAAGGCTCTACATGAGCCTTTCGTAGACACAGTAGCCTCCCTCCACTGGCTACGCTTTGGTGATCTCTTCGGGGAAACCGAGGGTTTTGTCTGTGCAATACAGGATCAGGTTATTAAGACCAACAACTATCGGAGATACATCCTAAAGGATGGCACCGTCGACATCTGTCGAGCTTGTCGCCATCCCGGTGAGTCACTTAGGCATGTTATCTCCGGTTGTTCGGCGCTTTCTAACTCTGAGTACTTGCACAGGCACAACCTAGTAGCCAGAATTCTACACCAGGAGCTCGCTCTGAAATACGGTCTCGTGGACCGGAAATTGCCGTACTACAAGTACTTGCCGGAAGCCGTGCTCGAAAATGATCGCGCCAGGCTCTATTGGGACCGGGCCATCATCACAGACAGGACTATTCTTGCGAATAAGCCTGATATTGTGCTGATGGACCGGGCACAGTCAAGGATATTTTTGGTCGACATTACCATTCCGTATGACGAGAACCTCGTGAAAGCCGAAACAGACAAGCAAACAAAATATCTGGACCTGGCTCACGAGGTGACCGACATGTGGGGTGGTCTGCCGACCGAAATTATTCCTGTAGTCGTCTCTGCAAACGGGCTAATCCCAGTCAGCCTCTCGGGTCATCTGAGGCGGCTGGGACTACGTGGCGGACCGCTCCAGGTTCAAATGCAGAAGGCGGTGCTCCTCGATACCGCCCGCATCGTCCGCCGGTTTCTTTCCCTTTCCCCCTAACCCTCGGCCGTTTGGTCTCCCCTGCCGAGGGCCTCCATCTGGTTGGGCTTTTATTTATTTATGTACTTTTATATTTATTTTATGTTATTGATATTTATGTATATTTATTTTTTCATTTTCATTTATAATTATATATTTATAGAACCCAACCAGATGAGAAAACTATATAGATACCCCATAATAATAATAAACCTTTAAACATTTAAACCTTTGGATACTCAGGTGGACTAGATGATTAACGCCCTGGATAAAAAAGTCCGCATTACCATGACGTCCCATAGGATGCATTATTCGAGATCGTCGGTAATGAGGCTGTACTTGCCGCGGAAGCATGGTGGTCGTGGCTTCTTGAGCGCGCTCACCATGCATAATTGCGAAGTGTGCAGCCTCCGTGATTACTTCCTGGCGAGATCGGATGATCCATTCTATAAGGACGTCATTTCTTGTGATAAAGGACTTACCCCTCTATCCTTAGCCAACGAGCAATGGCAAGACCCGGCAGTGCAGAGCATTTCCGACCGGGAGACCGTATGGAAGGAGAAGGAGCTCCACGGGAGGTTCTACAAGGCTCTACATGAGCCTTTCGTAGACACAGTAGCCTCCCTCCACTGGCTATTCTTTGGTGATCTCTCCGGGAAAACGAGGGTTTTGTCTGTGCAATACAGGATCAGGTTATTAAGACCAACAACTATCGGAGATACATCCTAAAGGATGGCACCGTCGACATCTGTCGAGCTTGTCGCCATCCCGGTGAGTCACTTAGGCATGTCATCTCCGGTTGTTCGGCGCTTTCTAACTCTGAGTACTTGCACAGGCACAACCTAGTAGCCAGAATTCTACACCAGGAGCTCGCTCTGAAATACGGTCTCGTGGATCGGAAATTGCCGGAAGCCGTGCTCGAAAATGATCGCGCCAGGCTCTATTGGGACCGGGCCATCATCACAGACAGGACTATTCTTGCGAATAAGCCTGATATTGTGCTGATGGACCGGGCACAGTCAAGGATATTTTTGGTCGACATTACCATTCCGTATGACGAGAACCTCGTGAAAGCCGAAACAGACAAGCAAACAAAATATCTGGACCTGGCTCGCGAGGTGACCGACATGTGGGGTGGTCTGCCGACCGAAATTATTCCTGTAGTCGTCTCTGCAAACGGGCTAATCCCAGTCAGCCTCTCGGGTCATCTGAGGCGGCTGGGACTACGTGGCGGACCGCTCCAGGCTCAAATGCAGAAGGCGGTGCTCTTCGATACCGCCCGCATCGTCCGCCGGTTTCTTTCCCTTTCCCCCTAACCCTCGGCCGTTTGGTCTACCCTGCCGAGGGCCTCCATCTGGTTGGGCTTTTATTTATTTATGTACTTTTATATTTATTTTATGTTATTGATATTTATGTATATTTATCTTTTCATTTTAATTTATAATTATATATTTATAGAACCCAACCAGATGAGAAAACTATATAGATACCCCATAATAATAATAAAAGGGCGTAGGAAAGTGACGACCCCATCGCCCGCTGACGTAACGGTTATGTGACAAAACCGCTACGTAAGCGCAGTCAGTCAGCATCTTGCCAAGAGGTGTTAGTGCCGTGCCTCGGCAAAAATTGAAGGTGCAAAGGCCCGCTTGTGCACATGGCCTCAACATGAAACGGCGCCGGGTCTGGGCGTCTCCCGCTAAATGACGCCCAAAAAATGGATGATGGAATTAAATAGAACGCGCAAAGGGCCGCTGCCTGGAGGTCGCCAGGGCGCGTCTGGAGCTGGCGCTGGACGCGGCAGCATGCGAACCGCCAGCCGAGCGCGAGGTGCTGCACGACCACCCAGCAGCCCCTCGCATCCATCATCCCCACTGGCAGCTGGCTTGGTGTCGGTAGGGTCTTCGCGGGCCCAGCAATCGGCACCCGCCTCTGGTGGAGTACGCCGCATGCGTTGGACAACCCAGATGAACAGCAACGCATTGCAGGCGTATTTTAGGGCGAAAGGGGGAGAAACTGGATGTTTGGCGTATCGGGCTAGGATGCATCGTCTTTTTGCTGAGCTGTAGCCATCTTTAACCGTCACAGTGCAAAACCTGGCAGACCGAGTTCGGTATATCTTGCGCTCAAATATATTTGATGTCGCCGAACTCGAACGGCTACGACGTGAGGCTGTTCCCTCGTCGGATGAGAATGCTACGGCTGAGGATGCGGCGCCACAAATGGTAGAGCAACCCGCAAACGTGGATGCCGCCGTGAATACCCCAGTTGTGGTTGATTCAAACGATGATGGAACTGTCGCCCAGGAACTGGAATTAGAGCATATAGCATATAGTACATTGGAAGAGGCGATTGTGGAAACGCGCAGTACGCCTCTCGAAAATCGACCGCGACTTCCCCGCATAGCCCTAAGCAAGCGGAATCGGGCTGTCGTGAGGGCTCTGAACCCAATGCTGGTGACCTATTTGGAAGCCAGCCGGGACCTTTGCGAGACGGACTCAATTCTTTTTGGCGCCGGGCTGGCAGTCTGCCGTATCATAGGTGCCAAGGTTTCCACAGCTGGACGCGCTACTGGCCATAGTAGCGCTATCCCAGCATGGAGAAGAAGAATTGAGGAACGTATCGCAAAGGCTAGAGCTCTCATCGGCTGACTGATATGCTTCAGATCAGGCAACAACAGGCCAAGAATTGTGCGCACCGTCAGGATGGCGTTTGCTGGGACAAATGTCAGTTTGTCCCAGCCGGATATAACGCAAAAACTGACGGAGCGCATAGATGATCTGAAGCAGAGAATCGCTGCTTGGGGAAAGCGGATTCGGCGATATACCGAGAGGTCGACACGGTTCAACCAGAATCAGAAGAGGCTCTATGAATCATTGGAGCGACCAATGGTAAGTGGAACGGGTCCAGCACCAAATCAGGCCGACACTGTAGCATTCTGGCGCGGCCTGTGGTCAGAGCCCGTAAACCACAGCGAGGGCCCTTGGACGGAAGTTGTGGCGAGTCAGTGTGCGGGTATTACGCCCATGGACCCCGTCATCATAACGCCGGATGACGTAGCTGAGGCGGTCCGTAGGGCCCCGAACTGGAAAATTCCGGGGCTTAACGGGCTGCATCACTACTGGCTGAAGGGGTTCATGGTGTGTCACTCTGTGCTCGCCCGGCAGTTTCAAGAGGCTCTCAACCAGAAGTCGCTCCCAAGCCTCTTCACTACTGGGATCACTCATATGTTTCCTAAAGACCAGGGTACCACAGACACGAGCAAATACCGCCCCATCACGTGTCTGCCGACCATATACAAGACACTAATATCCATTTTGAGCGCGAGAATCACTTGTCACCTGGACTCAAATCAGGTGATTTCGCGCGCTCAAAATGGATGTCGGTGGTCGTGGAACCAAGGAACCACTCCTCATTGACGCGGTCATTGGCAAAGTGGTGAAACGCAACCGTCGGAACTTCTCCGCCGCCTGGATAGACTACAGAAAGGCATTCGACTCGGTGCCCCATACATGGCTAAAGAGAGTCCTCGAGCTGTACAAGATACACTGTACAGTTAGAGACTTCCTCGAGCAGTGTGTGGGGCAGTGGAGTACGATCCTTTGTCATCTGGGCGAGCGGATGATGGCTGCGGAGAACCACATAAGGATAAGAAGGGGCATCTTCCAGGGCGATTGTCTGAATCCAATCTGGTTCTGCCTCTCTCTGAACCCTCTAAGTACCTTACTGGAGGGCTCCGGGAGGGGATTTCAGCTACGGAAAGGAGGGACAAAAGTGACCCACCTCTTCTATATGGACGACCTCAAGTTATTCGCCTCCAGTCGCTCCCATCTTATGGAATTGCTACACATCACTTGTGAATTTAGCAATTCCATTGGAATGGAGCTTGGGACGGATAAGTGTGCGGTCCTCCATGTTGAAAGGGGAAGGGTTGCTAACTCTGAGGGCGTAGACTTATCTATGCCCGTCAACTTAAGGACCCTTTCCGAGGCTGAAACATACCGATACCTGGGTATGTCACAAAACATCGGTATCGATGAGACTGGTATGAAACAGTCAGTTTGCGACGTGTTTTATGCACGCTTGACCAAAGTGCTTAACAGCCTTTTTTTCGGTGTGAATAAGGCACACGCATATAACGGCTGGGTCATGCCTGTCCTCATGTATACCTTTGGCATACTCAGGTGGACTCAGACTGAACTTAACGCCCTGGATAGAAAAGTCCGCACTACCATGACGTCCCATAGGATGCATCATCCGAGATCGTCGGTAATGAGGCTGTACTTGTCGCGGAAGCATGGTAGTCGTGGCTTCTTGAGCGCGCTCACCATGCATAATCGCGAAGTGTGCAGCCTCCGTGATTACTTCCTGGCGAGATCGGATGATCCATTCTATAAGGACGTCATTTCTTGTGATAAAGAACTTACCCCTCTATCCTTAGCCAACGAGCAATGGCAAGACCCGGCAGTGCAGAGCATTTCCGACCGGAAGACCGTATGGATGGAGAAGGAGCTCCACGGGACGTTCTACAAGGCTCTACATGAGCCTTTCGTAGACACAGTAGCCTCCCTCCACTGGCTACGCTTTGGTGATCTCTTCGGGGGAAACCGAGGGTTTTGTCTGTGCAATACAGGATCAGGTTATTAAGACCAACAACTATCGGAGATACATCCTAAAGGATGGCACCGTCGACATCTGTCGAGCTTGTCGCCATCCCGGTGAGTCACTTAGGCATGTTATCTCCGGTTGTTCGGCCCTTTCTAACTCTGAGTACTTGCACAGGCACAACCTAGTAGCCAGAATTCTACACCAGGAGCTCGCTCTGAAATACGGTCTCGTGGATCGGAAATTGCCGTATTACAACAAGTACTTGCCGGAAGCCGTGCTCGAAAATGATCGCGCCAGGCTCTATTGGGACCGGGCCATTATCACAGACAGGACTATTCTTGCGAATAAGCCTGATATTGTGCTGATGGACCAGGCACAGTCAAGGATATTTTTGGTCGACATCACCATTCCGTATGACGAGAACCTCGTGAAAGCCAAAACAGACAAGCAAACAAAATATCTGGACCTGGCTCACGAGGTGACCGACATGTGGGGTGGTCTGCCGACCGAAATTATTCCTGTAGTCGTCTCTGCAAACGGGCTAATCCCAGTCAGCCTCTCGGGTCATCTGAGGCGGCTGGGACTACGTGGCGGACCGCTTCAGGTTCAAATGCAGAAGGCGGTGCTCCTCGATACCGCCCGCATCGTCCGCCGGTTTCTTTCCCTTTCCCCTTAACTCTCGGCCGTTTGGTCTCCCCTGCCGAGGGCCTCCATTTGGTTGGGCTTTTATTTATTTATGTACTTTTATATTTATTTTATGTTATTGATATTTATGTATATTTATCTTTTCATTTTCATTTATAATTATATATTTATAGAACCCAACCAGATGAGAAAACTATATAGATACCCCATAATAATAATAATAAAAATGGCGGACGTTGTCAAAAGTAAATGATGCAGTCAGTACAAAATTTTAAAAATGAATTTTTGTAGCATATGTTTCATGTTCCCAAATAACAAATTCTCAACGTAAATAGATTTTACAATATCAATATAAATAAAACTTTAAAAATCTTTCGATAGGAAACTAATTTCAAGAAAAATGTATTTCTTTCAAATTGACAACTGTCATCTAAGAAATTTTACAAACAGATTTATAAAATATTTAATTTAACGTTACATTATGCATCGAACGAGACGACAAATACGAATACATACCGCCAATACCACAATCGCACACGTAACATCGCCTACGGAGGGCTACACATCCATGGAATGTAATCCAAGAGGCACAAGAAGAACCCCCGTACCATCTTTGAGGGGACGAAGAGCGCCAGCGGCTGGCTTGGGACCTGCAGGAATTACCATCCTACATGAGGACCCCGCTACTGATGGTATAGTGCGACGACGCATGCGCTGGACTAAAGAATTAAATATAAGTGTTATGCGCGCGTACTATAAGGCTACCAAAGGAGGAACCAATCTTACATCTTATCGCCCTAAAATGCTGTCTGAATTCCAACAGCTACAACCCAACCTAACAAACTTAACTGCCCAAAGACTTTCAGATCAAGTACGTGTAATTCTAAGTCGTAAGATTTTGGACGACAGATTAATTGAACAACTTTGCAGTGAGTACTCAACATCAAATTCAATTCCTGATTCCCAACGAACACTTCCAGGTGAGACTGATGACTTAAATGTAAATAACAGTAACCATAATATAAATATTACTAACTTAAATAACGAAAAAGTAGAGCAAAATTGTTTTGATATAGATGTGAGTTCCCAAGACAGCGAATATATGAAAAGGACTTTCGAATGTTCCCTTCTGGAATATAAAAATACACCAATAGAAAATAGACCGAAACTACCTAAACTTCCTAAAAAAAAAAAAAACTATTCTAACAGTAGCATCAATGAATATTCTATGTAAAGATTATTTTGAAAAAAGTAACTCTATTTTGGAAACTATGTCTCTTCTATACTGTTGTGCCCATGCTATATGTATGATAATGAAAATTCCTGTCATTTCAGTACAACGTTTTAAGAAAAATAATACAGAACCTAAATGGAAACAAAGAATTCAAAAACTAATTGACAATACTCGCAAAATTATAGGAAAATTAATAAGCTACCAAACAGGTAACAGACGTAAAAAAATAATTACTTTAGTAAATCAAATCGCTAATGAAAATGATATTAACCAATCAGATCCCCATTTTCCGGATAAAATTACTGAATTCATTGATACACAAAAACAAAAGTTAAAAGCATGGGCCAACCGTATTAGACGATATTCAGAAAGATCTAAACGGTACTTCCAGAATCGCACATTCGAAAGTAACCAAAAGTGGGTGTATCGGTCTTGAGAGAACACTACAACTAATAGTTGTACTCATGGCAGCCCAAGCTTAAATGAATGTCTAAATTTTTGGAATAGTATATGGTCTAACGAAGTTTCTCATAATGAAGGCGAATGGATTCGTGCAACCGAACGTAAGTTTTCTAATTTGGCTAACATGGGTTCTATTTCAATTACTGCTGAAGATGTAAACTCAATTACTCGTAGATTACACAACTGGAAATCACCTGGACCAGATGGTATACACAACTTTTGGCTGAAATGGATAACAAGTAGCCATGTGCGTTTTGCTGCACAGATTCAAGAAGCCATTGAGTGCTGTGAGCTCCCGAGACTTCTTACAACTGGTATTACCCACTTACTATATAAAAATGGAAACATCACGGAACCTAAAAATTACCGACCAATAACATGCTTTTCAACTGTATACAAATTAATAACTGCAATTTTGAATAAGAAGATCTATAAACATTTGGAAAATAATAACATTCTTTCAACTGCACAGAACGGATGTCGGAAAGGGTCACGTGGTTGTAAAGAACTTCTTCTCATTGACACAGCTATTTGCCGACAAGTCTTTCGTAATCGCAAAAATATGTCCGCTGCTTGGGTGGATTACAAAAAGGCATATGACTCTGTTCCCCATTCATGGCTAAAGAGAGTTTTAGAAATATATAAGATAGATGACAAAATTTGTAAGTTTTTAAGTAAAGTAATGGGTCAGTGGAACACTGTCCTAAATCTACCAGGTGAGTGGCAAAGTAGTTCGATAGACTCTATAAATATTAAACGGGGTATATTCCAGGGCGATAGTTTGAGCCCAACTTTGTTTTGTTTAGCCCTGAGTCCTTTAAGCACTGCTATTGAGGAATCCGGATTAGGGTTTCGGTTTCGAAAAGAAAACTCACCGATCTCACATCTACTTTATATGGATGATCTCAAACTATTCACATCAAAAGAGAGTAATCTACTATTATTGTTGAAATTAACACATAGTTTCAACAATGATATTAGAATGGAATTTGGAATAGATAAATGTGCTGTCATCAACGTAAATAGGGGCAAAATTAAAGATTGTAATAATTTTGCAATTACAAATGACTTACATTTCAGTTCTCTTTCTGAAACAGAAACCTATAAATACTTGGGCATGGCAGAAGCGCTAGGAATTAATGACAAAAATATTAAAGAAAATTCAAAAGCAAAATTTATGTCAAGATTAAAAAAAGTTATCAAAAGTCATTTATCCGGCGGAAACAAAATTAGAGCATATAACTCCTGGGTAATACCTAGCCTTCTATATAATTTTGGCGTTACAAGATGGTCTCAAACGGAATTGGATGACTTAGATAGACGAGTCCGTACATTAATGACTACGCACAGAATGCACCACCCACGATCATCTGTCATGAGGTTGTATCTTCCAAGAAAAGATGGTGGACGGGGCTTATTAAACATTAAAAACCTACACAACCGTGAAGTATACAACCTCAGAGACTATTTTATTAAAAAAAAGACACATCACACATTCATAATGACGTAGTGATTAATGACAAATCATTAACCCCGCTTAATATGTCGGCAAAGGACTGGCAGAGGCCTCATACTATGACTATAGATGAACGCAAAAAAGGTTTGGAATGACAAACAACTGCATGGTCGATTTTTTAAAGCATTGACTAATCCTTATGTAGACATGGTTGCATCAGTACATTGGTTACAATTTGGTGACCTTTTTGCAGAAACTGAAGGTTTTATCTGTGCAATACAAGATGAAGTAATTAAAACGAACAACTACCGAAAATACATTTTGAGGGACGGCACAGTTGACGTATGTCGCGCATGTCACCACCCTGGAGAGTCCCTCAGACATGTTATTTCCGGTTGTTCACAACTATCAAATGGTGAGTATTTGCACAGACATAACCAAGTAGCTAGAATAATACACCAACAGCTTGCCATTAAATTTGGCTTTACTCAACAGGATGTTCCATATTATAAGTATGAACCAAAGCCAGTCCTTGAAAATAGAAGTGTCACGCTGTACTGGGATCGGTCAATTATCACAGACAGGTTTATAGTGGCAAATAAACCTGACATTGTGGTGATAGACCGAACTACACGCAAGGCAATAATAGTGGATATCAGTGTTCCTCATGACGAGAATCTCGTAAAAGCAGAGAATGATAAAAAAATAAAATATATCGACTTGGCTCATGAGATTGTCGCTATGTGGGACGTTGATTCTACTATTATTGTACCAATAGTTGTTTCAGTCAATGGACTTATTGGTAAAAATATGGACGATTATCTGTCCAAGTTAGGTTTGGGCAAATGGCTGAAAGCATTAATTCAAAAATCGGCCTTATTAAATACGGCTCGAATAGTAAGAAGGTTCCTATCTTTGGATGCCTAACTTTACGGATGGCTTAGAATTCCTCGCCGCGGTGGATAATAGCCGAAATAATAATATTATTTATATAGATTGTATTTATATTTATAATCTTATAGTTTTGTGATAATATAAGTGATCATATAATAATAATAATAAAACGCGTAGGGAATTGACGACCCCATCGCCCGCTGACGTAACAGTTAAGTGACAAAACTGCTACGTCAACGCAGTCAGTCAGCGCCTTGCGAGAGGTGTGAGCGCCGTGCCTCGGCAGAATTTAGGGTGCAGAGGCCCGTTTGTGCTTATGGCTACACACAAAACGGTGCCAGGCCTGGGCGTCTCCCGTTAATGTACGCCCAAATAATGGATGATGGATAAAAAGATAGTGCGCAAAGGGCCGCTGCCTGGGGGTCGCCGGGGCGCGTCTGGAGCTGGCGCTGGACGCGGCAGCATGCGGGCCGCCAGCCGAGCGCGAGGAGCTGCACAGTCACCTAGCAGCCCTCCGCATCCATCATCCCCACCAGAAGGCTTGGTGCCGGCTGGGTCTTCTCGGACTCAGCAAGCGGCACCCGCCGCTGGTGGAGCACGTCGCATGCGTTGGTCACAAGCAATGAATGCAAACGCACTGCGGGCGTACTTTAGGGCAAAAGGGGAAGAAACTGGATGTTTGGCGTAGCGGGCTAGGATGCATCGTCTTTTGCTGAGCTGGAGCCATCTTTAATCGTCACAGAGCAAAACCTGGCAGACCGAGTTCGGTATATCTTGCGCTCAAATATATTTGATGTCGCCGAACTCGAACGGCTACGACGTGAGGCTGTTCCCTCGTCGGATGAGAATGCTACGGCTGAGGATGCGGCGCCACAAATGGTAGAGCAACCCGCAAACGTGGATGCCGCCGTGAATACCCCAGTTGTGGTTGATTCAAACGATGATGGAACAGTCGCCCAGGAACTGGAATTGGAGCATATGAGCAGTACATTGGAAGAGGCGATTGTGGAAACGCGCAGTACGCCTCTCGAAAATCGACCGCGACTTTCCCGCATAGCCCTAAGCAAGCGGAATCGAGCTGTCGTGAGGGCTCTGAACCCATTGCTGGTGACCTATTTGGAAGCCAGCCGGGACCTTTGCAAGACGGACTCAATTCTCTTTGGCGCCGCACTGGCAGTCTGCCGTATTATAGGCGCCAAACTTTCCACGGCTGGACGCACTACTGGACAAAGTAGTGCTATCCCAGCCTGGAGAACAAGAATTGAAGATCGTATCGCAAAGGCTAGGGCCCTCATCGGCAGACTGATATGCTTCAGGTCAGGCAATACCAGCCGGATAACGCCGGATGACGTAGCTGAGGCGGTCCGTAGGGCCCCGAACTGGAAAAAGTCCGGGACTCGACGGGCTGCATCACTACTGGCTGAAGGGGTTTGTGGTGTGTCACACTGTGCTCGCCCGACAGTTCCAAGAGGCTCTCAACCAGAAGTCGCTCCCGAGCCTCTTCACTACTGGGATCACTCATTTGGTTCCTAAAGACCAGGTTACCACAGACCCGAGCAAATACCGCCCCATCACGTGTCTGCTGACCATATACAAGACACTAACATCCATTTTGAGCGCGAGAATTACTCGTCACCTGGAATCAAATCAGGTGATGTCGCGCGCTCAAAATGGATGTCGGGGCGGCGGTCTTGGAACCAAGGAACCACTCCTCATTGACGCGGTCATTGGCAAAGTGGTGAAACGCAACCGTCGGAACTTCTCCGCCGCCTGGATAGACTACAGAAAGGCATTTGACTCGGTGCCCCATACATGGCCAAAGAGGATCCTCGAGCTGTACAAGATTGACTGTACAGTTCGAGACTTCCTAGAGTGGTGTATGGGGCAGTGGAGTACGATCCTCTGCCATCTAGGCGAGCGGATGACGGATGCGGAAAGCCGCATAAGGATAAGAAAGGGTATATTCCAGGGCGACTGTCTGAGTCCAATCTGGTTCTGCCTCTCTTTGAACCCTCTCAGTACTTTACTGGAGGGTTCCGGGAGGGGATTTCAGCTTCGGAAAGGAGGTACAAAAGTGACCCACCTCTTCTATATGGATGACCTCAAATTATTCACCTCCAGTCGTTCCCATCTTATGGAATTGCTAAACATCACTTGATATATGAATTTAGCAATTCTATTGGAATGGAGCTGGGGACGGATAGGTGTGCGGTCCTCCATGTTGAGAGGGGTAGGTTTGCTAACTCTGAGGGCATAGACTTATCTATGCCCGTCAACTTAAGGACCCTTTCCGAGGCTGAAACATACCGATATCTGGGTATGTCACAGAACATAGTTATCGATGAGGCTGATATGAAACAGTCAGTTTGCGACACGTTTTATGCACGCTTGACCATAGTGCTTAACAGCCTTTTGTCCGGTGTGAATAAGGCACATGCATATAACGGCTGGGTCATGCCTGTCCTCATGTATACCTTTGGCATACTCAGGTGGAGTCAGACCGAACTTAACGCCCTGGATAGAAAAGTCCGCACTACAATGACGTCCCATAGGATGCATCATCCGAGATCGTCGGTAATGAGGCTGTACTTGCCGCGAAAGCATGGTGGGCGTGGCTTCCTGAGCGCGCTCACCATGCATAATCGCGAAGTGTGCAGCCTCCGTAATTACATCCTGGTGAGATCGGATGATCCATTCTATAATGACGTCATTTCTAGTGATAAAGGACTTACCCCTCTATCCTTAGCCAACGAGCAATGGCAGGACCCGGCAGTACTAAGCATTTCCGACCGGGAGACCGTATTGAAGGAGAAGGAGCTCCACGGGAGGTACTACAGGGTTCTACATGAGCCCTTTGTAGATACAGTCGCCTCCCTCAACTGGCTACGTTTCGGTGACCTCTTCGGGGGAAACCGAGGGTTTTGTCTGTGCAATACAGGATCAGGTTATTAAGACCAACAACTATCGGAGGTACATCCTGAAGGATGGCACCATCGACGTCTGTCGAGCTTGTCGCCATCCCGGTGAGTCACTTAGGAATGTCATCTCCGGTTGTTCGGCGCTTTCTAACTCTGAGTACTTGCACAGGCACAACCTAGTAGCCAGAATTCTACACCAGGAGCTCGCTCTGAAATACGGTCTCGTGGATCGGAAATTGCCGTATTACAAGTACTTGCCGGAAGCCGTGCTCGAAAACGATCGCGCCAGGCTCTATTGGGACCGGGCCATCATCACAGACCGGACTATTCTTGCGAATAAGCCTGATATTGTGCTGATGGACCGGGCACAGTCAAGGATATTTTTGGTCCACATTACCATTTCGTATGACGAGAACCTCGTGAAAGCCGAAACAGATAAACGAACAAAATATGTGGACCTCGCTCACGAGGTAACCGATATGTGGGGTGGTCTGCCGTCCGAAATTATTCCTGTAGTCGTCTCTGCGAATGGGTTAATCCCAGTCAGCCTCTCGGGTCATCTGAGGCGACTGGGACTCCGTGACGGACCGCTCCGGGCTCAAATGCAAAGGGCGGTGCTCCTCGATACCGCCCACATCGTCCGCCGGTTTCTTTCCCTTTCCTCCTAACCCTCGGCCGTTTGGTCTCCCCTGCCGAGGGCTTCCATCTGGTTGGGCTTTTATTTATTAATGTATTTTTGTATTTATTTTATGTTATTGATATTTATGTATATTTATCGTTTCATTTTAATTTATAATTTTATATTTATATAACCCAACCAGATGAGAAAAATATATAGATACCCCAAATAATAATATAACGTATCGCAAAGGCTATGGCCCTCATCGGCAGACTGATGTGCTTCAGGTCAGGCAATACCAGGCCAAGGATTGTGCGCACCGTCAGGATGGCGTTTGCTGGGACAAATGTTAGTTTGTCCCAGCCGGATATAATGCAAAAACTGACGGAGCGTATAGACGACCTGAAGCAAAGAATAGCTGCTTGGGGAAAGCGGATACGGGGATATACCGAGAGGTCGACACGGCTCAACTAGAATTGTCTCTTCCAGAGTGATCAGAAGAGGTACTATAAATCATTGGAGCGACCAATAGTAAGTGGAACGGGCCCTGCACCAAATCAGGCCGACACGGTCGCATTCTGGCGCAGCCTGTGGTCAGAGCCCGTAAACCACAACGAGGGCCTATGGACGGAAGTTGTGGCGAGTCAGTGTGCGGGTATTACGCCCATAGACCCCGTCATCATAACGCCGGATGAAGTAGCTGAGGCGGTCCGTAGGGCCCCGAACTGGAAAATTCCGGGACTTGACGGGCTGCATCACTACTGGCTGAAGGGGTTCATGGTATGTCACGCTGTGCTCGCTCGACAGTTTCAAGAGGCTCTCAACCAGAAGTCGCTCCCATGCCTTTTCACTACTGGGATCACTCATTTGGTTCCTAAAGATCAGAGTGCCACAGACCCGAGCAAATACCGCCCCATCACGTGTCTACCGACTATATACAAGACACTAACATCCATTTTGAGCGCGAGAATCGCTCGTCACCTGGATTCAGATCAGGTGATGTCGTGCGCTCAAAATGGATGTCAGGGCGGCGGTCGTGGAACGAAGGAACCACTCCTCATTGACGCGGTAATTGGCAAAGTGTTGAAACGCAACCGTCGGAACTTCTCCGTCGCTTGGATAGATTACAGAAAGGCATTTGACTCGGTTCCCCATAGATGGCTAAAGAGGGTCCTCGTCGTACAAGATTGACTGTACAGTTCGAGACTTCCTCGAGCAGTGTATGGGGCAGTGGAGTACGATCCTCTGTCATCTAGGCGAGCGGATTACGGCTGCGGAAAGCCGCATAAGGATAAGCAGGGGTATATTCCAGGGTGACTGTCTGAGTCCAATCTGGTTCTGCCTCTCTTTGAACCCTCTCAGTACTTTACTTGAGGGCTCCGGGAGGGGATTTCAGCTTCGGAAAGGATTTACAAAAGTGACCCACCTTTTCTATATGGATGATCTCAAATTATTCGCCTCCAGTCGCTCCCATATTATGGAATTGCTAAACATCACTTGTGAATTTAGCAATTCTATTAGAATGGAGCTGGGGACGGATAAGTGTGCGGTCCTCCATGTTGAAAGGGGAAGGGTCGCTAACTCTGAGGGCATAGACTTATCTATGCCCGTCAACTTAAGGGCCCTTTCCGAGGCTGAAACATACCGATACCTGGGTATGTCACAGGACATCGGTATCGATGAGGCTGGTATGAAACAGTCAGTTTGCGACGTGTTTTATGCACGCTTGGCCAAAGTGCTTAACAGCCTTTTGTCCGTTGTGAATAAGACACATGCATATAACGGTTGGGTCATGCCTGTCCTCATGTATACCTTTGGCATACTCAGGTGGAGTCAGACTGAACTTAACGCCCTGGATAGAAAAGTCCGCACTACAATGACGTCCCATAGGATGCATCATCCGAGATCGTCGGTAATGAGGCTGTACTTGCCGCGAAAGCATGGTGGGCGTGGCTTCCTGAGCGCGCTCACCATGCATAATCGCGAAGTGTGCAGCCTCCGTCATTACATCCTGGCGAGATCGGATGATCCATTCTATAATGACGTCATTTCTAGTGATAAAGGACTTACCCCTCTATCCTTAGCCAACGAGCAATGGCAGGACCCGGCAGTACTAAGCATTTCCGACCGGGAGACCGTATGGAAGGAGAAGGAGCTCCACGGGAGGTACTACAGGGTTCTACATGAGCCCTTTGTAGACACAGTCGCCTCTCTCCACTGGCTACGTTTCGGTGACCTCTTCGGGGGAAACCGAGGGTTTTGTCTGTGCAATACAGGATCAGGTTATTAAGACCAACAACTATCGGAGATACATCCTAAAGGATGTCACTGTCGACGTCTGTCAAGCTTGTCGCCATCTCGGGGAGTCACTTAGGCATGTCATCTCCAGTTGTTCGGTGCTTTCTAACTCTGAGTACTTGCACAGGCACAAACTAGTAGCCAGAATTCTACACCAGGTTCTCGCTCTGAAATACCGTCTCGCGGACCGAAAATTGCCGTATTAAAAGTACTTGCCGGATGCCGTGCTCGAAAATGACCGCGCCAGGCTCTACTGGGACCGGGCTATCATCACAGACAGGACTATTCTTGCGATTAAGCCTGATATTGTGCTGATGGACCGGGCATAGTCAAGGATATTTTTGATCGACATTACCATTCCGTATGACGAGAACCTCGTGAAAGCCGAAACAGATAAACGAACGAAATATCTGGACCTGGCTCACGAGGTGACTGACATGTGGGGTGGTATGCCGACCGAAATTATTCCTGTAGTCGTCTCTGCGAATGGGCTAATCCCAGTCAGCCTCTCGGGTCATTTGAGGCGACTGGGACTCCGTGACGGACCGCTCCCGGCTCAAATGCAGAAGGCGGTGCTCCTCGATACCGCTCGCATCGTCCGCCGGTTTCTTTCCCTTTCTTCCTAACCCTCGGCCGTTTGGTCTCCCCTGCCGAGGGCTCCCATCTGGTTGGATCTTATTTATTTATGTAGTTTTTGT